ATAAATACCAGACGAAGTAGGATGATTTACCCGAAACAGCATAGAGCGCATTCTTTAATTACAGCTAAACATGCCCGCAACTCACGCCAATTCTTTGAAGCCACTTCCTAGTGTGTCGTTCAGGTCGATATCTGAAACTAAGAATTAGTAAGAAACCTCACACTCTTCATTCTACGGTTTCTGAAAAGTTTTTTTTTACTACCGGGGGTAGTGGCAATTCACGCGTTTTCCCACAGCCTGCGAAAGGATGGTCAAGCACACTTAAAATCTTCAACTCCGCATTCGGGACTTTACTTTCTTCGACTCAAAACAATTTGTGCTACAAATTGAAGAAACTTCTGCGACCTGCATGGCTCAAAAGGTCTTGTTAGCCGCAAATAAATTAGTTATTTCAGTTTCGACAAGCCCTTGCAGTCTCCTAACTGCCTTTTATATCTGGTAGTTATTTTGCCGTTTAATTTATGCTAAAAATTCGGCGTTTTTATTGGGCATCCGGTTAAAGTTTCCAAATTCGCTGATTGCGTTCTGCTTTTCTTTTCGGTATGATACCCCCGACCTAGTATAACAAGTGACTTCGCGCAAAATTCTATGAAAGCAAAATATAGTCGTGTTATACTCCAAAGTCTGGCCTTAATATTACCCCTAATGTCTCTGGAAATTAGCACACCCCCCCCCCAGGAGGGGGGTCCCTAGGCATGTGTCTTGCCTTCCTGTCACAAGAAGACGGTGATATTAGAAAGTGCGAGTGAGGGAGGTGCATCGAGATCTGCTTCACAACAAACAAACTAGCACTCAAATCCTGATTGTTTTCAGCTGGTACGGCAGTGTTGACCTCAAGATTCGCGATTTTCAAACTATCTGGTGAATATCTATTAACTAGCGCAGATTCGTATTAATTTTCATAGCATATAGGGTCATTAAAACTGCTGGAATTTTGGGACAGCTCTGTTGACGCGGTGTTCCAGATTCGTGGTAATGGCGTAAACGGCGCCCGAAAGGGCTCACATTATTCGCAATATTTCCACTATTTCAGCTTGGAGCCTAACGGAAACCCCTCGAAAAATATTGCTGATAATTCGTCTGCACAGAAACTCGTAATACGCAATCCTCCAAGATACATCTGAAAAGTTAATAGCTGATCTGGAAAGCTCGGTTCAACCATTTCCTGACATGGATATTTCAAACGCTCATGAACTTCCTGGTTTAGCGCCCCAGAGAATAAACTGTAGCCATTCGGCTCATTCCTCAGTCACATAGCACAGGCCCAGACGATACTGCAGATTAAACTTTTCAAGGTCGATGCGAATGATAAATTTCCATCTTTTTTATGCAAAATATCCGAGCTTCCTCTTGGATGTGAAGTTATTTGAACCCTATGGCACGTTTCTCCGTCGACGACCAAATTTCAAACATCTTAAATGTTATAAAAAGGAATTTAGAGAGCAGGTCAGGTCAGACTTGTAAGCAGCAAAATTCATTGGATCTAATAATTTCGTTGCTTCCTCTCGTTGCATAAAGTGAATAGCGTAAGAGGAAATACAAAATTGAATTAATACAGAAAAATCGATACAAACAGCAAGGTCACAGAAAATGGCTATGAGGAAATCAATAACGTAAGACAGTTAAACGCTGTGGGCAGCAAAAACGGGGAAAAATGTATCAGGCAAAAAGGTTGGGAAGGGGAATGTGTAAACAGGGAGCCGGTATTACCACAGCAGAGTTAGATTCACCACATGCTTCAGCTATTTACAAAGGTCAGGTTTAAACCGCAGTATGTAATCTGCCTGCAGGTTGCGTAAGGTGCGAGTTGTTCGTGCCCGAACAAGTACTCGGAAAGAGGTTTTGGAGTCCACAGAATGGCCCGAATCTAGCATGTTTTCGGTAATCGATGAACGGGGAGTTCTGTTTCAATAACCAGTTAGGTAAGTACTTCTTGGCTCTGGCGACCAATTGCCTTTGCGTTCGCCCTATGTATTTGCATCCGCAAGTGCATTTAAATTCATAAACCCAGTTTGAAGTGGCGTGCAACGGCAAGGCATCCTTCGCACCAGGAATTGGTAAATGCTTGGATGGGTTGCAACTTATAAGTTCTGCAGCCTAATATGTCCTTTCTATGGCGTTAAGTAGCCGTCTCTTGATGGTATTTAAGCTGTTGTCACCCTTAAAGGGCAAGGATATAAAGACGGGCTTTTTCGGAACTGACTGTTCCGTCATTTTGGCCGTAATGGTTTGTTATACTTGTCTATAAACTGTACTGGGTATCCGCACTTGAGAAAGGTTTCCTTAAAGCTAATTATTTCTGCGCCCTCTCGCGGCCGAACGCCATGCCGGACGGAGTGGCAACTTTCCCCCTAACACTTCTGTACACAATATATTGTTCCTCCTACTCTGGCCTTCCCAAGACTTCCCAACTATCTCCTAAGGAACCGGGCCTGGAAGATTATAGCTGTTAGGGTTAACCGTATTAGCCTTAACTCTTATAGGCACAAGACTCAAATAATGCAAGTACAATCCTTTCCACGTATTTTTATGGAAGACAATTCATGCAAAAGTGAGCCGAGTATTACTTGAGTCATGGTTCACGGGCCCCCAATCCATCAA